ACTCACGAGTGGGCTTTTGCCTTCTCCCCCAGAGAGACCCCCCGCCTGGCTTCATTTACCTTCCCCATTAGGCAATGTTTCCTGATAGCTGGCTGCTCCCACTCCTCCCTAGACCACCCCAGAGAACAGCTCCTCCCTCCCTGCTAGGCCTCTCCTGGTGGCCTCCAAAGCCCAGAGCCATGGTACTGGGGTCGAGAAGATTTAGGCAACTCCAGAGCCTACTTACTGGGAAACTGAGGGCCAAAGAGGAGTGGGCTCCTTCCTGCTCTCCTGGTCTTAGGAGGCTCCATTGAATCTGTCTCCCACCCCAGGATGAGTAGGACAATCAGCTGAACTCCCCTTTCTGAGGGGTCACTATGGATGGTGATTTCACCCCTGACAGAAGGAGTTGTAGGAGCATGTTGTGGAGGGGTGATCAGTTTTTCTGGGATGTGTCTGGATGTAACTTGGCTCCCTAAGGGTCCTGCATCACTGTACATTCCCTCTTCTCTCTGGATGTAAGTGGACCAGCAGAATGACACTTGTTTTTACCCTTGGTGGCATTTCAGGTACTGTGCAAATGGTCAGTACAAAGGGAGAATAATTTAGTGTACTTTAGTGGGTGTGGTGTGAGGACAGCCCAGGTGCTGAACTCAGAGCTTGACACTCCTTGCTGAATCCAGAGTGAGACTTCCTGGGGAAACTAGAGGCCTGCTCTCAGGCTGGGCTGTGACAACCCCTGGACACTGAGGACTTTGTGCAATTTGGTGTCTCACTGAGGCCCAAGTGGAACCTCACTGAAGGCCCAGGTGCCCTCCTCCGTGTCTGTGTGGCACATTAGGGCTTGAAGCAGTTTGGGATTCTAGCCCTTATCGATATGGGACCTCTGCCAGAGCACCTGGATCTGGGGAATGTGATGGCCTCTTTATCTATGACTCCACATGTGGGATTTGCTTCAGAGTTACATGTGCTGCTGCCCTTGACATTGACATGCCCCCTTGAAGATCATTGCTGTGTCCCACTGTCCCTTGGATGTACAGGGGGCAGAAACAAAGTCCAGATGCAGCCTGTAACTGCTTCTCACTCTTCATCCTGCCAGACAAGGGCTCTCAGTCTGGGCCCTGCAGGAGGCTGTTCTGACCCCACCTCACCTGTGCCCTGATGCTTTTCCACCAAGCCAACCAGGACCCCAGCACCTGCCTGAGTTGTCCTGGCATGAAGCTCCTTAGCCTAGGTTTTTCCTATGTGAGCCACTTTGCCATGTGGCAGTATAAATTGGCCAGACCAGAAGGAAGGCTTCTCTACAAAAATGTCAAGGAGGTGACCTATGGTTTTGCTTTGCTGAGAAAGCAGGGGTCAGTGTTGTCTCCCTAATTTGCTGTGTGAGCTGCTCTCTGAGGCTCAGTTTACCATCCAAGGAGGAAGATCAAGCCGGGGCCCTTCCTTCTTCCAACCCTAAAGAGCAGCCACTACGGTGGTCATGTTCTATATAAGAACCTGACTTTCCTACCTGCTGTTCTTTCACATCCCACTTTCAACACCCTCTTCTTTCTCCTGCTGTTTCCTTTGCAGCTCTTACCTTTGGCTGAGATGTCCTGGAGGCAGCACCCATTCCTGAGGGTGAGCACCTACTCCTGGGGCTGGTTCAGAGCTGGGGACCTGTTTCTTGATAGGCCGTAGTCAGGCTTCCCACAGAGGGTGGGCTTCAACAACGTGGCAGGAAGGATAACTGGGACTTTCTATGGTGGAAGCAAAATGTGGAGGGGAGATTCATGTATATAAAGCATGAATTTAGAAACCACCACGTTTGTTGCTGTTCTGGACCCCAGATGGACAGACCATGGCCCTGACCATTCTAGAAACATGGACCAGCCCTGGGCAGCAGGTACCCATCTACAACATGCCAGCTCCCAAAGACTGATGACCAATACTTTGTGGAGGATTCTGCAGCTGCATGCAGGTGGTCCATAGAGAGGAGGCTGGAGACCATTCAGGAGGCACAGGGGCTGTGCACCAGAGGGCCAGGCCAGCTTCCAGAGACATTGACATCCATCCAGAGGTGGCTGAGCAGTTCCCCAGCTGCTGAGGGGCAAGTCTACTAGCCAGTGTACAGGTCCAGAATGGAGCAGGTGTGACTGTTAAGGGCCAAATACAAGGGGGGACAGCCAGTTGTGAGCAGGGGATATTTGGGGAGAGGATTGGGAACTCCCAATTTGTGGGGGAGGGAGAGTATCTCTGAAGTTTTAGCATGGGTGCAGCTGGTGGTCACCATCTCCTCCAGTAGCAGAGAGTGAAGGTGGACATCCCCAACTACTCATAAGCAGCAGCACTGTGTGGACGGTAGGCTCTCCTTCAGAATGCTCTGGGACCCTGAACTCCAGTTTTCTGCAAGGTTTCTTGCTGGAGTTTTGTGGCAGATTCACTGTCCGACCCCAGCAAAGGCTAATACTATCTCTCAGCCTTGGTTTCCACCCCCTGGCCATGATGGACTGGTGTAAAGGGGGCTTTCAGTCCCTCCCTGTGCTAAGAGTTCAAGTAGGGTTGGGGGTGGTGGTGCTCCAGGCTGGTCCTGGCACCTACCTGTCCTGGTTACTTTCCCCACCCAAGTTGATAAACTGTGGCTCATCTCTCCAGCATGGGGGACCACCTGGGGCCCCCGTGATTCCTGGGCTGGGACAAGAGACCCTTGCTGGCCCACCTCCTTCCTGAGGGACACCCTGGGTGGCTGCTGTGAGAACCTTCACTCTCCCATGAAGGGAGCTTTTTAATGCCTGCAGCGCCTTCCAGAGACACATTTACAATCTCACACATCATTTTTCTTGGAAGCAATCTCCTTGCCTTTAAACATGTCATCGCTTGGCGTCTCCCTTCCCCTGCCTCCTGCGGTTCCCCACCAGCTGCTTCTTACTTCCCGGGTGCGGGAGCCAGGCCTTCAGGCTGGAGGCTTTTGAGGTGGGCTGAGACCTCCCCCACAGTGGGGAGGGCCTGGGTCCTCTCACCACCACTGCCTGGGTGAGCTGGGCAGGGTGGACTGCAGGAGCTGGGGCTACCTTTGATGTTTCTTTTGCTGTGTCAGCCTCTTTAGGGCTTCAGGGGTGCCTAGCAAGAGTGCAAGGGATCAGCAGAGGGCAAAGGAAAGCCCTTTGCCCACAGGAAGTTTCCCAGGGTTGTATCCATGGAAAGGGCACAGGCAGGAACCTTCATGAGGCAACATCACAACTAAGGAGGAAAAAAAACCAAAAACAAAAAACAAAAAACAAAAAACAAACAAACAAAAAAAAACACTGCTCATTGGAGTCAGGAGGGTCTTGGTGTGGAAACTGAGGCTCAGGAAGAAGTGATTTGCCAGAGGTCACAGAGCTGGGGGCCACAATTTTCCTTCCCCAGTCCATCCTAGTTGGCACTCCTATGAGCTCTTCAGAGGGGGACCTGGGTCTTGTTCACTTGGGTCTTGCTCACCTAGGTCTTACCCACCTGTGTGTGACCTTGGTGGCCCACACCCAGGTCAGTGACAGCCATAGATGGGTGGAAGGGGGTGGTCCTGGCATGGCCATTGTGGGAACAGTGAGTTTTCTGCCTGCAAATGGCCATACCTCCTGATTTCTCCTTTGTCTCTCTGGGCAGCACCCCAGCTATCTACTGACAATGGTCAGGGTTTCCTTTGTCATGACTTCTGGACACTTGCTGCCCAGAATTCACTAGCCCAGCCTTTTGGAAGTATCTCTTGCCCCCGAATCAGCTGTTCCAAGTTCAGACAACTCTGACCCATGGGAAGGCTTTTCATATGGTGAGGCTGAGCCTGAGCAGATGATGGTACTAAACTTTCAGTGTAATCTCACCTTTGTGCCTGGACAGAAAGGCAGCCACTCCCCAGGAGGGGCCAGTTGTGCGGCCCCAACGATAATTCCTGCTGACAGTATTTTTGGGGACTAGACCATGTAGGGGTGACATGCATGCTGGCTGAGGGGCCTGTGGCTGCTAATAAGGGGTGGGGGCCCACAAGGATTCTCCTTGAGGCACATTCCATGGTTCTGTCTTGTGATTTATGCATCTCTTGTGTTTTAAGGTGGTTCTGGATTCTGACACGACCTTGCTTCAAAGTAGATTTAATTTCCTTGGGGATTCGAAGCTCCCTCACCGGCAGCATCTGCCCAGAATCTTGTTCTCCTCATCCTTGGTGTACAAACAGAACAAGGGGCAGAGACAGAGGCCGTCTTGGAAAGTGCAGGCAGTGGCTTTAGGCCCCACTTCACCTTCCTCAATTTAAGGATGGAGAATCCCATGTCCCAAAAGGTTGAACAACTAGCCCTGGAGCCCAGCTGCTCAGGTCTCCTCATCCCCAGGCAAGAAGCAGTCCAAGAGTTGGACCGGGAAGGAGGACCTCTTTGGCTCTGATCATTGAGAGTCCGAGCTTTGCAAAGGGGCGTGGGGGTTACCTGCGGGCTCGTTTCCCCCTTCTCGCGCAAATACCCCAGGGAACACCCGAACAGAGCTTCAGCTCCGGGCGCGCGGCCAGGTGTCCCCTGTGGCCCCAGCCTAGGCGTCCCGGATTCCAACCCTGCCCCCGTCCCCGGCCTTCTAGCTCCAGTGCCGCCAACACCCTGCTCCCGGCCCCCAACGTCTCCCCCCTTCACCACCCACCCCAACGTCAGTCTTGTCCTGGGCCACCAGTGCACCCCCCCGCACGCGTCTTGGTCCCCGCCGCTCGGGCTCGGCCTCTCGGCTGCTCTGCTCCCACCCGCGTTCTCCGGCTCTCCCCTTCCCACCAAGGAGGGTCCGCCCGAAGCCCCGCCCTGCCCCGCCTCCGAAGCGGCGCCCCGGGCCCCGAGTGGCCGGGTGGAGGCGCGGGCGGGGCTCGGCACAGCTCGGGTTTCGGCCCCGCCCCCGGCCGGCGTTCCCCCGGGC